TAAGTCTTCTTTGTTTGACTTTCCTCTTATTCTTTAAAATAAAGGAAAATATCAACCATCTGTGGAGCAGTACACTCACTGGTTAGTGAGTGCCTATGGATAGGTGCCTATGGATACGAGATGCAGGCAAAAATCAACTAAAGTATTCTGCGAGAATTGATAGGCTATATGTAATTTATAATAATATTATAACATATATTATTATCTGTAAATTAAATGCTACACATCTATGCAGAAAAGGATTAAAACAAGGGGCCTGGATTGTTCAAACTCTGCACATTTCAAAGAAAGGATTGGCCCTTGACCTGTTCCTAGGAGATAACTTTTAAGCCCTTGGAATATTCTTCCTGGTAAGAGTGCATTTGTATACCTGGGGCCTTGGGCAGCATCACATAGTTGATGCTAGCAATGCAGTTGATGGTGAGAGCCTTGGGAGATGCTGTATCAGTTTCACCTCTGGATATGGGGACTGGAGACTGACTAAGATCAGTCACACAAGTGTTCCATGCCTACATGACTGATGCCCAATAAAAACCCTGGACACCAAGGCTTGGGTGTGCTTCCCTGGTTGGCAATACTTTGTGCAAGTTTTCACACATTTTTGCTGGGAGAATTCAGCATTGTTTATTTGACTCCACTCTGAGAGGACAACTGGAAGCATGTACTTGGTCTCTCCTGGACATTGCCTTATGCATCTTTTTCTTTTGCTGATTTTAATCTGTGTATTTTCACTGCAACAAACTATAACTGTAACAGCTTTTCTAAGTCTGTGAGTGCTTCTAACAAATCACTAAACTTGAGGGTACTTTGGGGAATCTCCAACACAATATCCTTTATATCAGTAAAACTTTTAATAAATATATGTATATACATATGCACATATTAGTTTTTTGAAGAGCCAGTTACTAAACGCCACATCATGCACCATTCTATACTCTAAAAGCTTGGCTGTTGCTGGTGAATTTTAAGCCTTTATATGGTTTAAAAATTGATAACAATGTGCAATGTGCAAACTTTGTTTGGACTTGATTCAAATGGAAAAACCATCAAAAGATTTTTTGAGACAGAGTCTTGCTAGAGTGCAGTGGCATCATCATAGCTCACTGCAACCTCAAACTTCAGTGCTCAAGTGATCCTCCTGCCTCAGCCTCCCAAGTAGCTGGGACTACAGGTGCACACCACCGTGCCCTGCTAATTTTTTCTATTTTTAGTAGAGATGGGGATCTCACTCTTGCTCAGGCTCAGACTGGTCTTGAACTCCTGAACTCAAGTGATCCTTCCACCTCAACCTTCCAGAGTGCTAGGAGTACAGGCATGAGCCACTGCACCCGGCCTAAAAAGATGTTTTTGAGACAATCAGAAAATTTGAATATAGACTGTTAGATGATATCATCTATGGGTGTGATAAGTCTTCGTCAATTAGAAGTACCTTTTGTAGTATCTACAGATGAGATACACTAGCTAGGATTTTCTTTAAAGTATTCAAAACTTGAAGGGGAGATAAAACAAGTGGAGGTTATTTCACTCTTTTCTCTACTTTCATGTATGTTTGAAAATAAAGTTTATTTTTAAATGATACTTGTTCAACTTTGCCCATCCTCTTTATAATTATAAATGCACAAACATATGATATGAACGTGTGTCATACAAATGTACAACTGAAACTCTGAACCACTATTGATTCAGAAGTTAATAGGTTGTGCCTGTGATTATACTTATTCTTAAATGTAATAGCTCTTTTAAAAACAGGACTTGTACAGTTTAGTAATAACATAATGTTTCTACATAAACTTTTGTTAGTAAAGATATTGCGAACTTAAGGTTACAGACAACAACCTACACAACTATTTAATTTAAAAAGGTGTCTTTTGGGAAATGGGTAGTTTATACTTTTTTTTAAAGTAAATTTTCCATAGTTTAATCACTGCAAGTATATTCTGCCATTTCTGCATAATTCCATTGGTTGATTGAGACCTATTTTAAAACAATATATTATTTCATCATATGGGTATTTCACATAAAGCATATTCATTCCCTTATTTTAGACACAGGTTTTCTGATTTTGTTATTAAAAGTATCTATTTTATTTTATTTTTGAGATGGAGTCTCACTTTTGTTGCCTGGGCTAGAGTGAGTGCCATGGCGTCAGCCTAGCTCACAGCAACCTCAAACTCCTGGGCTCAAGCGATACTCCTGCCTCAGCCTCCCGAGTAGCTGGGACTACAGGTATGTGCCACCATGCCCGGCTAATTTTTTCTATATATTTTTTAGTTGTCCGATTAATTTCTTTCTATTTTTAGTAGAGACAGGGTCTCGCTCTTGCTCAGGCTAGTTTCGAACTCCTGAGCTCAAACAATCCGCCCGCCTCGGCCTCCCAGAGAGCTAGGATTACAGGCGTGAGCCACCGCGCCCGGCCAAAACTTATACTTTCTATTTGAGGTCTTTGCAGTGACTTGGGACACATAATTTTTATTACAATGTATTGTTATAATTATTGTTAATCTCTTACTCTGCCTAATTTATAAACTTTATCATAGGTATGTATGTATAGGAAGACACATAGTATATGTAGGATTCAGTACTATTCATGCTAATAAAAAAGGCATCCACTGGGGGTCTTAGAACATATTCCCTGAGAATAAGGGAGGACTTCTGTAGATCTGTTAGAAAGATCTATTTTTATTTATTTATTTATTTTTTGAGATAGAGTCTGGCTCTGTTGCCCTGGCTAGAGTGCCGTGGCATCAGCCTAGCTCACAGCAACCTCAAACTCCTGGGCTCAAGCGATCCTCCTGCCTCAGCCTCCCGAGTAGCTGGGACTACAGGCATGCACCACCATGCCCGGCTAATTTTTTCTATATATATTTTTAGTTGTCCAAATAATTTCTTTCTATTTTTAGTAGAGACGGGGTCTTGCTCTTGCTCAGGCTGGTCTCGAACTCCTGACCTTGAGCGATCCACCTGCCTCGGCCTCCCAAGAAAGATCTATTTTTAAAAAACGAACTCGTATTTCCAAAATAAACAATCCAAAGCATAGCTCTTGAAAAGGTAAATAACTTATCATGCCTTCTTTTTAAATGCTGAAAATATTTCCGATACAGAGATGCCTGACACCTAAGGACCCACCGTGTGGATTTAAAAAGGAATAACATCCTGCTATATTAGCTCTATCATTAAGTTTTTCGGAAAAAAAAAATCCTCCCTATCCTTCTCTGCTTGTTCTTTCAGGCTAATTTCACTATTTGCAAATTATAAAAAGTATTCTTCATAGACTTTCTTGGCATTTCATCACATCTTCATATTAACTTGGGAGAAACTGTGAGCTTTACTTTCATCTTTTCAAATTGATTGATTCATAGCTTCCTCCCTTAATTTTCTTTCAGTCAAGTAAATCCCTATGTCCTGGGTAAAATTAATATCCATGTCTGCTGCTACTGTCTATGTTGAGTTGGAGAAAGAGCAGCGTTAGCCAGGTGATTGGGGATTTGCATAGTTGTTTTTTCCAATCATTCTTTAAAGTCCTAAGATCTTTGGTCCTTAGACCATAAGTGAACAAATCACTTTTTTGGTTTCAGGACATACCAGTTTCCTTATTACAGGTCCATTGATTGTCACAGAAACCTTATTAGATGAGTAAATACGTTCTGTATTTTCATTCTGTTTTGGTAACGGAGTCAAACGTAGTGTAGTGTTTGCCCCTAGAGACACTCACTTCTTAAGTGTCCAAGGGGAAACCAGAATAGAGAGCTGGAATATTTTAATATCGCAAAAATGTATCCCTGTTTAAAAGGATTAGTGCTGTGCCATGCTGCAACTTGCTTTTAAGTTGTAGGAACATAAGAGGGAATTGGGCCGGGTGCAGTGGCTCACACCTGTAATCCTAGCACTCTGGGAGGCCGAGGCAGGATAGCTTGAGGTCAGGAGTTCGAGACCAGCTTGAACAAGAGCTAGGCCCCGGCCCCAACTAAAAGTATATAAAAAAAATTAGGTGGGCATGGTGGTGCATGCCTGTAGTCCCAGCTAGCCTGGAGGCTGAGGCAGAAGGATTGCTTAAGCCCAGGAGTTTGAGGTTGCTGTGAACTAGGCTGACACTACGGCACTCTAGCCCGGGCAACAAAGTGAGATTCTGTCTACAAAAGAAAAAAAAAAAGAGGGAATTGTTTCAAAATTGGAAGAGAAACACCCACAGCACCTACTCGGAATTCCTCACTACAAAGGTCAACCCAGACAGGTGTGCTGGCGTTACTGGGCGGACCTCGGCTCCCTTGGAAATCCCACATCCTGCCACTAGAGGGCGAAAGCACACAGAAAAACCCACAGGGAGCCCAGATCCAATCACCAGTCACCAAGCTTCAGATGAGAGGTTTTCGAAGGTACCTAGGAGTCACTTTTAAAACAGTGACAATTCTATACATATTCCTCTCCTAAAAAGGGCTCTGAATCTTCTGGTAATACTGACCAATATCATTAAATGGGCCAGAGGACTCCTGCCAGAACTCGTTCCCAGCTAGCTTTGGAGGCAGCTGTCCCAAGCTAAGCACAAAGAACAGGAGGGGAAAAGGGAGCCGCTGAAAGTATACCACTCTGGGTCATGAGCCTTATGGACAGTGGCTCATTTAAACCTCACAGACATCCTGCGGCAGGAGTTGCTCCACATAACCGAGGGGGAACAAGGCTCGTAGGAAATGCAAGGCCACAGAACTGCAGGTGTGGGAGCCAAGACTCTTGACAAGTCTGAGCCCAAAGCTTGTGCTTTTCTTACTTAGGGTTCCCATAATTCACAATCTCTATTAAAACTACTTCTCTACCTGCTCCTCTCTTGACCAGAGTGTGAGGAAGCAGGAAACTTTAATCAAATGGACTGGGTGTCTGTAAGCAGCCAACAGCCAGCGACTTTTCTTAAACAGTTATCATCCACTGGCCAAATTTGTCAACTTTGTCTTCATGCTCACATTTTAAAAATTCGCACAAATAAAAACAAAGCACCTCCATAAAAAATATTAATTACCTGGTAACCTTTATTCTGGAAGTGAAAGTAACTATGAAACAGTGCTTCATAAGGCGTGTCACACAAGGCCGCTGTATCCAACTGGCCAGGATGTGGCCTATTCCCACACTCCAATTCGGGCACCCTTGTTATTAAGATGTTATCCTGGTTGACCAGAGAATGGTGGTAACAACTTTGCCTGTTTTATTTTTACTTCAGTAGAATGGCTACAGATGCCATCAGTATGCTGAGGTTCCAGATCCTGTTCTGCGCATGGTGCTCTTCGATGAACGGTCCCAGCTTGCATTTGACCTTTACATGCACAAAGAAAGGTGTGAGTTCCCACCCCACCCCCAGTCTGGGCAGCAAGCAGCCTGATCGACTTGCTGCAACTGGACTTTCCACCCTTCCACACTCTCAGAATCTTCCAAGGGGGATGAAAACATACCACAGAAACTAAACGAAGACTAGGATGCTGGAAGGAAAGATACTCTGGCACACAAAAACAAACACGAGGCAAGGGGGGAAAAGTAAAATGAGGGAGATAAGATGGGAGGTCAAACTATGCAGTTACACTGCCAATTTAGAAAGATGTTAAGACACACACTGTATAAAAATAAAACCCATCCTGCTCCCTTCCTCCACAAGATGTTTTAATGCAAAAAGCAAAAATACTATATCCTTCTTGTAGTAAGCACTGTTAGTATTCAACACTTTAATATTTACGGTGCATCACATAAAAACGAAATCAGACTTTTGCATAAATCAAAAAATGCAGCAAATCAATAAAATGGCAAAATCAGGAAGAAAAAATTCTAATATTTTCACAAAATACAGAAAGCTTTTACAGAGTAAGTGGACTTTAAATGTTTGTAGCCCTATAGAGCTTTTGTTGCCCTATAGAGCTTTTGTTGCCAATTGAAAAACAAACAAAAAATCATCCCAACATAGGATGTTCCAAAAGCCTAATTCATAAAAAAGACAATTTATTCTGTGTTTAATGTTTGTTTAGGATGGTAACACAAGATAAGTCATGAAAGAGTTCAGTAAAAAAACAAAAACAAAAAACCACAAAAAGTAAGAATATAAGGAATGGTAATTGGTGCTGCCAATTAAAAAACATTATAAATCATTTTACTACCCAAAAATGATATGAAAAACTGTTTGAATCTGAGCAGGGACATGGTTGTAGTAATCTTTTGGGAACTGTAAATTAAAGTGATAGGTAACTGCTACTTGTGTTCACATCCTCAGAGGAGTAGAGTCCTATATCCAAAATATATCATTAATGTCCCTCCTGCCCCACACTCAGATAGCAAGTGGCCAGCACCCCTGCCCATTGAATTCTTCAGCACCCTTGGGACAGTCTCAACTGACACGTCTCACCGGGGAAGGAGGGCAGGCACCTTTGGTGACTCTTAAATGGGACTCCATCTACATTCGGGATCTTAAAATTTTGGTAATGAAAACCATAAGGCTTGCAAGTCATCCTCACCAACCTTAAATGTAGTGTTTGATGTCCAAGGAAGGATTTCCATGTCACGTAGGAGTAAATTTGAACAGATATACCAAATTGAACATAGTGTCTCAGATTCCAAACAAATATAACTCATCTTTAGGCAAAAAATAAATATAGTGGAATGCAAGTTTGATAGATGGAAGAATATATAATCTACCAACTGTCAAGGAGTACAATTTCATTGCAGACACAAAGACTCAACAATGTGAAAGAATTTTTTAAAATAAAAAAAAAGTTTGCACTTATTCCTCACAAAATCTTCACTTTTAGAACTATTCCAATTGAAACTACACACTGAATTTATTAATACAGCATTAAGTTTCTTTGTGTAAAAAAATCTTTGTACATAGTAATAAAAAAAGATAAGGCAAGATGCATTAAACAGAAACCTTCTGGTTCTTTTCCTCTGTGTTCTTATAGAGCCACTGATGACTATCTGCAACAAAAGAGTTAAGTTTCTGATTTTCCGTATCAAGCATCTTATGCCTTTGCTGTGGTAAGAATTCTGTCCGAGCACCCTGAAGGACAGATGCTGTTGATGGTCTTTGGCACTTACGCTGGCAAACTGAGCTTCTTTCCCTTGAGTACTAGAATTTTAAAGAGAGGAAGAGAAAACAAAAGGTTACTAATATTGACAAGCTTACATTTTCCTTCTTCCCATTACTAGAAGTATGTCATACACAAGATTCTACACAGTAAAGTACATGGGAATAGCAATTGTATTTAAAAAACATAAATTTGATTGAAAGTGCCACCAAATTCATAGTAGCTTTTTGTTATCATGACTTTCACCCTAATCAACATATATTAAAATATAACTTATATAGGGAGGTCTATGAAATTTGGGGCATTAAAAAAGTTATCAGATAAGATGTATATGCTCTTTTACCTAGTAATTTCACCATGAGGAATTTTACTGTACAGCATGAATTCTTAGCCTGGGATCTGTGTTTGGGTTTTAAGGGCTCCTAAATCCCCTAAAAGTATATGCATAAATTTGTGTGCATATGTATAAATATGCATTTTCCTGAGCAAGGACCACAGCTTTCATCGGATTTTGTAAAATTCACATGTTCTACATGCACATAAATGCAAAAATATACAACATAAGTGAATTATGGTACATATTCACAATGAGATACTGTCTGGTTACTGAAAATTATGTTTGTTTATTTATTTTAGATACAGGGTCTTGCTCTGTCACCCAGGCTGGTGGCAGATTCATACCTGCAGTGGCACAATCATAGCTCACTGTAACCTCGAATTCCTGGGCTCAAGTAATCCTCCTGACTCAGACTCCCAAAAAGCTGGGACTGTAGGTGCATGCCACCACACCTGGCTAATTTTTTAGATTTTTTGTAGAGATAGGGTCTCGCTATATTGTTCGACTCTTGGCCTCAAGTGATCCTCCCACCTCAGCCTCCCAAAGTGATGGGCTTACAGGCATAAGCCACCACACCTGGCCAGATATTTATTGACATGAAAAAATGTGAGTGGGATAAAAAACAGGGTATAGAATAGCATGGATAGTTTAAATCATGCATCTGTGCATACACATAGTGAGATATCTGGCATTATGTTTACTGAAACATTAATTAGAGATTATCTCTGAGTGGTAGGATTTCAGGTGATACCCTGATCCAGAATTTTATTTGGCAATCATTAAAATGTTTTCTGAAGCCAGTTCTGCTTTGTGAGAGTGCCAGATTAGGAGAGTGTTGGGCAAGGGAGCTGGGCAAGCAAGCTCCTAAAAGAACACGTGATTGTAGGAACAATGCAGGTATCACCCGACATACCTTTTGTAATGTACAAGTAGAAGAAGTCACAGTATAGAATGGTCTGGACTACACCGGCCACCACAGCAATGAGGTCAAAGAAGCCCTCAAAATAGAAGCGCCAGATCCAGTTGACAAGATACAAAGCTCGATAGAGGCCCAGGAAGAACAGGTAGTGGGTGGTGATGGTCTCAGCTTCCCCAGTCTTGCTAATCATAAAGAGCTGTGGGAGGATAGCCACTGATTCAAGGTAGATGGAGAAGGTCCATAAAATCTGGAAGAGAAACAGCAAACTTCAGTCAGGATCCAGTGCCCACTAATGTTACAGGGAACACTCCTGACTTACTGTAAGGCAGCTTAAGAAAAGTGGAGATTCTGAGGGTGTGGAAATCTCAGCCCAAAACAGAGCAGTTTGGTATCTGTATAAATCATAGGAATTTAAGGAACATTTAAGAGGCAGGGCACTGCCAATGACAAGCTGGGTAAACTAGTCATTTACCTCTCTGAATGTTCATTACCTTTTTTGTCCAATGTCTTGTTCTTCCCTGTACAATTTTTTGTGAATCTATACATAGATGTCCCTCCTGGCTAAACTAAGCTTGCCCTAATCCAGATCTGGGGTCCCAACCCTGCTTTCCACCAAGGTTGACAATACTGATAACTAGATTCCTTCCACTTCCTCCCTGGTGTTTTCCCTCACCAACTGATCTTACCAGACTACCTAAACATTTTCACTATTTCTCTTATCCGTTAAACTTTTTGGTGTGATTGAATCAAAGGGGTAAAGAATTGGAGTTGTAACTACACAGACTCTCTGCTCAACATGTTACTTTATTCATGCTGATGACAGAAGGACTTGCAAGTAGTTCTTGAGTGTTTTCAAAGTCCTGGCACTCCCAGCACTTGTCAAACGCCAAGAGCAGCACTGTAAACCCGATAAAACTCCAGGATACTAAGCAGCAGCTCTTAGGAGCAGAGCAGTGCACCGCACAGTGCCAGGAGCACCGTAAACCACCTTTCATAAAGGCGAGGAGTGTGGCTGTGGTGCTTAGGAGAGTCACAGACACAGTATCAATGTGCACCTTCTGTACATGAAGAGGAAACAAAATTTGCACCACAGTAGGGAAAAGACCATGTTCTTCAAACACTGGGACAGGCAGGGCTCTGTTTGGTCTCCAGAAGTCAAGCTAATGAAATACAGTTTCAAGTTTATATTCTAAAGGAGTCAGGCAATAAACTGCCTGCAGACACCCAAATACTTGGGTGCTTAATTTTGTCCATGATTCTTTTTTATACCAAGTAGTGAATGTTGCACCAGAAGTTTGGGAAATTAGAAAACAAAATCCAAAAAATCCACAAAAACCCACATTATCTGCAAACAGGTCTATTTACCTAAGGAACCAGACATGACCACTTAATAACCTCTGAACTAACCTCGAGTGGAGAAAAATCATGATTGACTAGGAACGAGAGGCCTCCCACAGGGACCACCAGAAACTCCACTCGGAAGGTATCGTGATTTCCATCATAGGTAGCCTTAAATTTCATGTAGATCAGGTATACTGTGGCATAGGAACAGGCAATGTAGATAAGCTAAAAACAAAAGAAAAAATACCAGGTTGTAAATACTTTTGAATGGTTCCAACTTCCTCAGCTTTTTATATTACCGATGTATTTAGAAAGGCAAGATTTATTTCCCCTTGGCTTTAAACGGTAAAATTCACTTTTAGGGGGTATATAGTTCTGTGACTTATATAACCACCACCACCACCACAATTAGGACACAGAACAGTTCCATCACCCCCAAAATTCCACTATGCTGATCCTTTGTAGACAAGCCTCCCTCAGACTTAACCTCTGAACTCATACGTTCTCTGTTCATAGTACTGCCTTTTCTAGAATGCCACGTAAATGGAGTCGTACAGTATGACTTTTGAATCTGGCATCTTTCAGTTGAGAGTCAATCAAATTTGTGGCAGGTATAGCAGGTCCTTGAATAATGTTGTTTCAAAAAAAAATTGTTCTGGCTGGGGCCCCTGTCTGTGTGGAGTATGTGTGTTCTCCTCATATCTCTGTGGGTTTTCTCCAGGTACTCTGGTTTCCAGGTACTCAACTTTCCCAAAGTTGTGCACATTAGGTGAATTGGCACGTCTACAATGTCCTGTCCCAGCATAAGTGAGTGTGGGGGTGTGTATGAATGCACCCTGTGATGGAATGGCGTCCTGTCCAGGGTTGGTTCCTGCCTCACACCCTAAGCTGCTGAGATAGGTTCTCACCACTCGTGACCCTGAACTGGATGGAATCGCAGAGTTGGAAAATGAACTAATGAATACAAATTATTGTAAAAAAAAATCTGTAAAATCTATGATAATCATACAAATGTGTGACAATAACAGTGTAGCACGAAAGCACTCAGCAAGCCTGCCATATTTGATATTGTCTGCTTTTGACCTATGCTCCTTACAATTTTCACTTTGCAAACATGTATTCCTTGGTTTAACCCACCACCACTACAAGCACCATCTCTCACTGATTCACCAAAAACTGGGTAATTATCTTGTTTTTATTAATCTTTCTTAGAAGTATATACAGCTCACACTTACTTCAATGTTTAATATTAGAAGTCTTTTGGTCTTTATTTAGAAGTTTGGTGATGTTTTTGTAACCAGAAATATGCCATAGGAACTTGTTTATATCAATTAGCCTATGGTAAAATTGGTTTCATTATACTTCCTTTCAATTAGAGTCATACTTTAAGAACCTATTGATGATATTAAGTGAGATTTACTATATTAATATTATTTGTTCCTTTTTATTGCTGAGAAGCTGTCCATTGTATGAGTATACCATAGTTTGTCTATTCACTCACCAGTTAAAGGACAAATAGGTTGTTTCCAGTTTGGGGGAATGATGGATAAAGCTGCTATGAATATTTGTGTACTAGCTTTTGTGTGAACATAAGTTTTCATTTCCCTTGAGTATATACCTAGGAGTGGGACTGCTAGATCATATATTAAGTATAACTTTATAAGAAACTGTATTTTCTTAGTTTCTTATAAATCAGACTCCTATTACCTATTTCAAGAGCCCCTACACTTTTCCTTCACAGTACCCATTTATTTATTTAGTCATTTATTTATGCAGTCATTTATTTAGTACTGTGATGCTCTGTCTGTTATCCCCCACCAGACTATAAGACTTCTGCTTGTTTTCTGCCATATCCTCAGTGCCTGACTCTGTAGGTATTCATAAGCATGAATTCAATGACTGTGGGAAGGAACCGAGGCTCACTTAGTCCAGTACTTCCCCAAGTGTGGAGTGTGGACCACCAGTGGCATACAAGATGTTAAGTAGTATGCCAACATTTTGTATTTTTTTTTTGACACAGGGTGTTGCTCTGTTGCCTAGGCTGGATGCAATGGAGCAATCACAACTCGCTGTAACCTGGAACTCCTGGGCTCAAGCAATCCTCCTAACTCAGTCTCCCAAGCAGCTAGGTGTGCCATCACGCCCAGCTAATTTTTAATTTTTTTTTTTTGGTAGAGTCAGGGATTCACTGTGCTGCCCAGGCTGGTCTCAAACTCCCGGCTTCAAGCGATCCTCCTGCCTCAGCCTCCCAAAGTGGTGGGAATATAGGCTTGAGCCACTGCACCTGGCCCAGAGTTTTGTATTTTAATAGTTATACATTTGTTTTAATGTGAATTAGGAAAAATACAAGAAAGACAAAGATGTCATGGAAACTAATGCATAAAACAAAAAGGTTTAAAAAAATATATTATTAAGTAAATTATGGTACAGATATTATTTAAGTATGGCAAATGTAATAAAGATGGCACACAGCAGAAATTTAAGAAAAACTGACTAAGTGGAAAAGAAAAAAAGAAAAAGTAGAAGCCTACACACAGTTCCTCTCACAGCAGCAAAATGAGACCCTACAACTAGGGAGTCCTGGCTTTAATTCCTTGTTATGTACCAACTTGCTGGATTTCTGTAGGGAGTCTGTAATTTTCCACTGCTTGAAAATATAATAGTTATTCCTCTCTCTTACAGGGTTATCAAAAGATTTAGAAGATTTATCATACTTGAGGAACTTAAAAAATCTCTAACTTCAAAGTACTTTACATAGAAATTGTTTTAAAACAGAAAGAATATGCACAATGATAGCTATTTATTCCCAGTTATACATACAAGGTGGTCTAAAAGATTTAAAGGCAAGAATAGAATATTTAGATATTACTCTTGAAGATTTTTAATTAAGACTACAAAGCTGACATAAATTAACAGTTTCCACAGGTCTGTGCATTATAGATAAAACACATTCTATTGGATGCCATACCATACCTTCATAGATGTATTATATAACGAAATAAATGAAGTAAAAAGATCCAGGTAACGAGTTGTGAAGACCAGTGCAAACAGAAGCTGGCTTTTCCCAGAAATACCTAAAGAAACAAAAGTAAAGTATTAGAAAAGCCCTGAAGAGTTTCATGATCCTGTAGATCAGCGGTCCCTAACCTTTTTGGCACCAGGGACAGGTTTCATGGAAGACAATTTTTCCATGGATGGGGGGTCAGGGGCAGGAGAAGTTGGAGCTCAGGCGGTGATGCGAATCACCTGTGCAGAAAGTACAGGTAGGGGAAGGGGGGCTCTTGGGGTCAAAGGCCCAGGTCTGGGGATGACACAGAATAAATAAGAGCAGTTTTAGGGTTTTTTTCCCCTTAACATTCTTGAACATGCTACTTTTGGGAGGCTCTAACAATTTTTCTGTCTTACTATGATGGGTAAATGGGTGACTATAGCAAAGTAACTTAGTTATGCCACCTCCAATATGCCAGGATATATACCATTCAAATGAACATTATATTTCTTAAATATATCACCTTAGGTAGGAATAAATTTCTTTCAATAATTCTGCTGTTGTTTAGTGTTGTAACTTATCTGTTACCTTTGGATCTTTTTTCCATTTTAAAACAATTATCTCCATGGTGACAAATCTTTTGAGAATGGAGTTGGAATCTACTCTGATTAGGGGGATGAGGAATCATGTGAGGAACACTGAATCAGGTAAGAGTTTGAGCAGTAACTCCCACTGGAATAATGGCATGACCTCCCAAGGTGACTTCTTTGCTGAGGGCAACATTTACTTGAATGTTCAAATTTTTAAAAAATTCCATCTCTTAGAGTCATCACACAACAAACTTATTAGTATAAAAACGTTCCTGGATGCTATGGCAACATGAGGGTAGGAACCTGCAACTACAGCCAATCTTTTTTAATGCCTTGAAGCTGTTTCCACTTCCAACCAATCAACCCACCTCCAGAGCACTGTGGCACAGCCAGACTCAGCTGGGAAGACTAGAAGTTCACAGCATGTGCACACAGCTTTTCTGACATCTATCTATATTTGGCCAAATATTTATGTGACAAAGGACAAGAACTATAGGTTTCAGATACTGGAGAACCAGCGAACTCATTAAGGAAACTACAGGTTGACTAAATGTCAGAAACTGCCCACCCTCATCTATAATGCAAACATCAGACCACTGCACATTTTAGTAAGCATGTATTTAACAGAAATGTCACTGCACTCAAATCCTTCACAACACTCCCCAGAATGTGAAAATTTCACTGTTTTTCAATATTTTGCAATCATTTTGCAGGCTGCTGAAACTAAAAGCCTGGAGGTAGGAACGTTACTTTTTAAAAAAATTTTTTAAGAGACAGAATCTAGATCTGCCACCCAGGCTGGAGCAGTACAGTGGCGTCATCATAGCTCATTGTAGCCTGGAACTCCTAGGCTTGGGGCATCCTTCCACCTCAACCTCCCGAGTAGGTAGGACTAGCTGGGACTACAGGCACATGCCACCATGCCCAGCTAATTTACTTTTTAGAGATAAGGTCTCGCTATGTTGTCCAGGCTGGTCTCAAACTCCTGGCCTCAAGCAATCCTCCTGCCTCAGCCACCAGGGTCACTGGAATTACAGGCATGAGCCACCGTGCCCAGCAAGAAAGTTACTTTCTCAGTGTGAATAACTGCAGTCCCAGCCTGTTCACAAGAACACCTAAATAGAAACTGAAAAAAAAGTTGACTCTATCCTTCCAAATCCATCAATAGAAACCAATTTTAAGGGCCAAAGGAGGAAATACAGACAGTAAATCTGCTGCTTATTTTTTTCCCCAGTAATGGAGAACTTTTTTTTTTCTATCAGAGATCAATGATCCAAAGCAGAAACAACGAGGCTGATGCTAACATAGAGAAATTGGAGAGAGAATACAAACGGGGGAAGAAAGAATAGGGAGCAGGCAGACCACATCTGTTATCTACTGAAGGCTCAAGAGAAAAATTTGCAGCTTATCTCCTATATGGTTCTTTCCCACATTATAAATAAAAATTTACAGGATACAGACAGGCAAATTTTCTCGTAAATAGTTTATTCTAATGGAACTTTGAAAGACAAGCAGACTTGAAATTTCATCCTCGTTTTCAGCATTCCTATACTAAAAACCAGGCAGGGACCATCATATTGCTTTTACCAGCCTCCTTTGAGACCCGACTCACATACCACCTCCTCTGGGAGGTCCTCTCTGAAGACACCTTCCCTCAGTGCTGCTGATTCATTCAACAAGCACATAATGGGGACTACTTCATGCCAGCTGCTGCCCTAGCTCCAATTACAGGACTTATAAAAATACACTGTGATGATCCAGTTCCTGCCTCCCCTTTCCCCCAATCCCCCACTCGATACCAAGACCTCTAAAGGCTGGGGTCATGTCTTATTCCATCTTGCATTCCCTGTGCTGGGCACTGGACCTGACACACAGCAGGGCTCAGAAAATATCTGCTGAATGAATGAACAAATGGACAAAAGAAAACAGAATTCATTTTATCTTTATCATGGGCAAATTCTCATTTTGTGGTATTCTGGGATAACACTTCAGAAGAATTTCCGAGTCATACTGTGTCTCTATGACTGTAAATAGGCAATGTGCTCTGGGCTTTGCCCTAATTTACTACCAGCTATAGGGTGGGAGAGCCCCCTAAGTGAGCGTGGGACAGAGGAGAGAGGACAGGCAACATATGGTCTGAAGCTTGTCCCATGGTATAGAATTTCTCCATGCAGGAACTGCCAAGCTGGAAATCTGAGGATGCTTACACAGTTCTACACTGTTCTCCTTGGCCTGGGATTTTTTTTTTTTTTTTTT